GCCATCTTGTTCTCAACCAACTCAAACTCTTTACAGCTTAGTTTTTAAATAAATATTAAGTGTCAGAAATTTTTATGTAAAATAAACTCTCACGTTTAACATATGATGGTAATACTTGTACTATCTCTAAATAAACTGCGGGCATTGGACTGTGACTTCTAAAGCTTTCAGCGTTCTCTGGTCAGACTCAGTTTGTGCAGCTTCCTGATTGCATCCCCGCCGCCCTGGCTCTCAGCTCTTCAGGTTGTAGAGACAAAACCGTTTGCTGAACCACTTGGGATTCCCCTCTGGACGGCCTTATTCAGGAGGGAGGAATGAAGATTCTCCTCTCCCACTGAAACCTTTGGGGCTCCCTCCTCCCCCTCTCCTTGTGCTGCTCAAGATGCCTTGGTTGCAAACGACCAGCCATGGCCTCTGGTTGACTCAGAATGAAAGGGGGATTTATTGGCGAGATCTCAGGTAGTTCAGAGTTTACAGGAGGCAGGCGAACCACACTCAGAACAGGCAGAAATTCAAAGAGGCTGAGATGCATGGACTCAGAGCCAACACCAGGCCCCGGAAGAGTCTGGATAAGGTGTCACTGCTGTTGCAACCACCGCCGAGGATGGGACACTGGGCACCGTCCTCGGCACAACTGCCACTGCCACAGTTTTTATTTTGATATTACTTTAAACTACCCCCTGCTTCGTGTCACCTGCTGCCCATTTAAACAACCAAGTGAGAGCATGTAACAGGACCTGCTACCGAAAAAGTCTATGTGTGCAGAGCTAGTACCCACCTAGGCATTGCCATTGCCGCCTACTACATCATACATGTTCTTCAAGTACTGGAATAGTGTCCTACCACCCTGGGCCCATTCTCTTTCCATCTTTTCGCAATCCAACCACTAAACAGTAAAACACCTGGCCTGGGGAGGGGCCCCCCGCAGAGAACTCTACACCTGGCATCCACTCTGGTTGGTGGATGTTTGTAGTAAAGTGATGGTTAGTATTTGGGATACTATCCCTGCCCATATGTACTTTAGGTCACTTTGTAAGTAAGGGTAGTGCTGACATCTAGAAATTACTAGTGTCTGTATTGAGAAATATATAAAATGTGCAAAGGGTGGCCGACATATGACAGATGGTGAAGACATCACGTGCGAGTTGAGGCGTCCTTTTTGTTTGCTTTATAAGACATTTCCATTCGTTTCTTCCCCGGCCTAAGAATGCTGTTGTGCTATGTACTTATTTTTTTAATTGAAGCATAGTTGATTTACAATGTTGTTGGTTTCAGGTGTACTGCAAACTGATTCAGTTTTATATATATATATGTATGTATATAATGTATATAATATATATATACTTTTTCAGATTCTTTTCCATTATAGGTTATTATAAGATACTGAATATAGTTCCCTGTGCTATACAGTAGGTCCTTGTTGTTTACCTGTTTCTTATCTATTTCTTAGTGTGTATCTGTTAATCCTAAATTCCCAATTTATCCCCACCCACCCACTTTCCCCTTTGGTGACCATAAGTCTGTTTTCTATGTCTGTGAGTCTATTTCTGTTTTGTAAATAAGTTTGTATCATTTTTTTTAGATTCCACATATGAGTAATATGATATTTGTCTTTCTCTGTCTGACTTAGTAAAATAATCTCTGGGTCCATCCATGTTGCTACAAGTGGCATTATTTCATTCTTTTTTATGGCTGAGTAATACTCCATTTATGTACTTATTTTTAAAATTAAGACAAACTCTACAGAGGGAGCTGGTAAATGAATTATGGAACGTTACAGCCATTAAAATGATGACTGTAAAAATCCAGAAAAATGTTCATGAAATATTTAATTTGAGAACTAGAACACAAAGCTGTCCAGACATTGTTTACAACTATGTAAATGCTATTTATGCAGATAAAGGTTAGAAAGTATTGTAAAAAAAGAAAAATATTAAGATAACTTCACTGTTGGAAGTAAGTCAGAAAGAGAAAAACAAACACTCTATGCTAACACATATATATGGAATCTAAAAAAAAAAAAGGTGGTTCTGAAGAACCTAGGGGCAGGACAGGAATAAAGACGCAGATGTGGAGAATGGACTTGAGGACACGGGGAGGGGGAAGGGTAAGCTGGGACGAAGTGAGAGAGTGGCATGGACATATATACACTACCAAGTGTAAAATAGATAGATAGTGGGAAGCAGCTGCATAGCACAGGGAGATCAGCTCCGTGCTTTGTGACCACCTAGAGGGATGGGATAGGGAGGGTGGGAGGGAGGGAGACGCAACAGGGAAGAGATATGGGAACATATGTATGTGTATAACTGATTCACTTTGTTATAAAGCAGAAACTAACACACCATTGTAAAGCAATTATACTCCAATAAAGATGTTAAAAAAAAAAGATAACTTCAGTGTTGAAATGAAAACATTTCTATAGTCGTGCTTTAAAAGTTAAATAAATAAAACCTTAGCATAATTATTTAAATGATTTAAAAAATAAAACATTTGGATGCTATCCTGACATCCGTTTTGGCCCTGGGAGGCAAACGAAGGTATCATAAAACCAGGATAGGAAACCACCCGGGCATATGGAACACAGCGGGTTGTGTTCTTAACTGAAAGAACAAATGTTTCCACAGCTTAGAGAACAATCTGAGGGGCTGTTGAAGGTCACGGGTAGTCTCAGGTGTACTTGACAGTGACAGAGGCAAACTTACGGCTGATTTGGGCTGGAGAGAAGGACTTAGAATGATTTCCTTTTTGCCCCCAGCTTCTATTCAGTCAATTCCAAGGACAGTTAACAAGACAACCACCCAGAAAGGAAACTGGTGCCTGACTTCAGTGTTAAAAAGGAGACTAAAGCGTGTCTCTTGGTGCAGACCCTCAGACCATACCATGACCTTAATACAGAATTCATGAACCGGGGAGTTGATATCCTCTACATCATTGCTTTTCACACTTGAAAGTACCTAGGGACCAGCTGGGGATCTTGTTAAAATACAGATTCTGATTCAGTTGGTGTAGGGTTGATTCTGCATTTCTCCTTTTTTTTTTTTTTTTTTTGCGTTACGTGGGCCTCTCACTGTTGTGGCCTCTCCCGTTGCGGAGCACAGACTCCAGACACACAGGCCCAGCGGCCATGGCTCACGGGCCCAGCCGCCCCGCGGCACGTGGGATCTTCCCGGACCGGGGCACGAACCTGTGTCCCCTGCATCGGCAGGCGGACTCTCAACCACTGCGCCACCAGGGAAGCCCTTCTCCATTTTTTAGTAAGTTCCCAGCTGCTGGTCTGCAGACCACATGTTATATAGTAAGGTTCTACAGCACATGAAGACTTACTTTTCAGGTTGTCCTTCAGATGTGTTTAGCTAGACCTTACTATTCAAAACATGTGCAAGACTTGTACCTGGAAAGCTACAAGACATTGCTGAGAGAAATTAAAGGGGACCTGCATAAAGGCAGAGAGTTCATTCTCATGAATTGGAAATTCAGTGTTGTTAAAATGTTAATTTCCCCCAGATTCATACATAGATTGAACAGGAACCCATTCAAAATTCCAGCAGGCTTTTTTTTGTTTTGGTGGAAACTGGTAAGGTGACTCTAAACTTTTTATGAAAATGCAGAGGACCTGGAAGAACCAAAATGATTTTGAAAAAGAATGAAGTTGGAAGACTCATACTACCCGATTTCAAGACTTACTATAAAGCTCTAATCATCAAGACAATGGATTAGATAAAGACAAATAAATGGAACAAAGTCCAGAAATGGACACACACATATATGGCCAGTTGCTAAATTGTGTTATACTAAGTGAGAGAAGCCAGGTACAAAAGATTACGTACCATATGATACCATTTATGTAAGATTCTAGGACTTCCCTGGTGGTGCAGTAGTTAAGAGTCCGCCTGCCGATGCAGGAAACAGGGGTTCGATCCCTAGCCTGCGAAGATCCCACATGCCGCAGAGCAACTAAGCCCATGAGCCACAACTACTGAAGCCTGCGTGCCTAGAGCCCGTGTTCCACAACAAAAGAAGCCACTGCAGTGAGAAGCCCGCACACCGCAACAAAGAGTAGCCCCCGCTCGCTGCAACTAGAGAAAGCCCGTGCGCAGCAATGAAGACCCAATGCAGCCAAAAAAAAAAAAAAAAAA